CTTTCTATCCCAAACTTAAAATCAAAGGAGGGATACTTCGCATCTAAGTCTCAGCAGCAACCTGATATATTATCTCCCTTGACCTGCAGAACCTGAAACAGAGATCTGACATACTGCAAGAGCCTCAGATTCTTTTAATCGGAGATGCCAGAAATGAAACCTAAGGACTTTGTGACCCCTTAATGTCTCACTGTAAAGATTTGTGGTGGAAGTTGCTTTCATTCATTGAATAGAATAGAATTATTTATTGGCCAAGTGTGATTGGACACACAAGGAATTTGTCTTGGTGCAAATGCTCTCAGTGTACATAAAAGAAAAGATACATTCATCAGGAGTCAAGAATCATAAGATACAACACTTAATAATAGTCATAGGGTACAATAAGGGAGGGAGGGAGGGAGGGAGGAGAGAGGAAGGATGAGAGGGAGGGAGGGAGGACTAGACTAGACTAGACTAGACTAGAATAGACTAGACTAGAATAGAATAGAATAGAATAGAATAGAATAGAATAGAATAGAATAGAATAGAATTCTTTATTGGCCAAGTGTGATTGGACGCACAAGGAATTTGTCTTGGTGCAAATGCTCTCAGTGTACATAAAAGAAAAGATACATTCGTCAAGAATCATCAGGTACAACACTTAATAATAATCATAGGGTACAGTAAGCAATCAAATCATACTGGGAAAAAGTCAATATAAATTGTAAGGATACAAGCGACAAAGTTACAGTCATACAGTCACAAGTGGGAGAGGATGGGTTGAAAGGAAGGACGGGAGGATTAATAGTAATACTAATAGTAATGCAGACTTAGTAAATAGTTGGACAATATTGAGGGAATTATTTGTTTAGCAGAGTGATGGCGTTTAGGAAAAAACTTTCCTTGTGTCTAGTTGTTTTGATGTGCAGTGCTATATAGCGTTGTTTTGAGGGTAGGAATTGAAACAGTTTATGTCCAGGATGTGAGGCAGAGGTGGTATTCAGCAGGTTCTGACCAGTTCTGGAGAACCGGTAGCGGAAATTTTGAGTAGTTCAGAAAACCGGCAAATCCCACCTCTGATTGGCCCCACCAACCCCATCTCTTTTCTGCCTCCCATTGAGTCCCAGCTGATCGGCTGGGTCTTCTTTGGTTGTCCTGCACAGGAGAATGGAGCTGGAAAGCAGGCTAGTGGGGTAGGGATTTTGCAGTAATCTTCCCCCCAGGAGTGAGGAGGGAATGGGGATTTTGCAGTATCCTTCCCCTGCCACACCCACCAAGCCACACCCACAGAACCGGTATTAAAAATTTTTGAATCCCACCACTGATGCGAGGGGTCTGTAAATATTTTCACAGCCCTCTTTTTGACTCCTGCAGGATACAGGTCCTCGATGGAAGGCAAGTTGGTAGCAATTGTTTTTTCTGCAGTCTTAATTACTCTCTGAAGTCCTTGTGTGACACCTGTAGAATTGTTGACGTTTTGTGGAAATCATCACCAACAGAAAAAAAATCTAGGACATATATTTAGGGCCTATTAACTCTAAGATATTTCTAGATATTTCTGAACTGCTCGAATAATACTTATTTATGAATCAAATTGACACAGCTTCACTTATGACTCAGATCTGGGTGGCCTTACCGCGCTATTGTAGCCATTCCATTGCGGTGTGTCTTCTGTGGGAATCGTGTAGTAAAGCCGATGTAATCTGTCAAGAACATTTTTGTACAGTGAGTTCATCCTGGAAATCAGACATGACAGGTTGCAAAGCAAATACATTATACCTGCTTTTTAAATATAGAACGATGTGGTGACGGGGAGGACTTAACCACATGGGAGTATGAGAGGAGCAGGAGATACACCGGTATATCTTTTAAGAAAGCATGGTATTAAAAAAAAAAAAAAATGGGAAAAGACAACAAACATTCCAGCTACTGTTTGTGTCTACACATTCCTGGACCAACTCCACCAAATTTTGGTGGAAGAAGTGTCAGCTTGAGCTCAGCTTGGGCCAAAATTGTTGGAGAGCTACTTTGAACAAGTTGAGTAAGAAGCATCAGCCATGGGCCTCATGACTTTGCTAGAAAGTCATTGTATTGTTGTTTCTCCAGCAACCTGTATCTTTCCTGGCTTCTCAGAGTCCAATTAAATCCTAAAGTGAGCCTCCAGCAGGGATCCCTGAATCAGATTGCCAAGATTCAGGCTGTTGTGAGAGGCTTCGGGGTTGTGAAAAGTTCACAACCGAAGTACTAACAGGTAACAGATAATCAGAGTTGGAAGGTATCTTTTAGGTCATCTAGTCCAACCCTCCATCCAAGCAGGAGACCCTACACCATTTCTGACAAATGGCAGTCCAATCTCTTCTTGAAAATATCAAGTGATGAAGCTCCTACAACTTCTGATGGTTGATTATTCTCACTGTCAGAAAGTTTCTCCTTATTCCCAGCTTAAATCTCTCCTTGTTCAGTTTCCATCCATTATTCCTTGTCTGGCCTACAGGCACTTTAAAATATAGCTTGACCCCTTCCTCCTCTCTGGGGCAGCCCCTCAAATATTGGAAGACTGCTATCCTGTCTCCCCTGGTTTTTCTCTTCCCTAGACTACCCAAGCCCAGTTCCTGTAACCGTTCCTCATATGTTTTAGTCTCCAGTCCCCTAATCATCCTGGTTGCTCTTCTCTGCACTTTTTCTAGAGTCTCAACATATTTTTTATAATGTGGTGACCAAAAAAAGTGTATATTCTGCTTCCTAAAAATCATTGGTAACAAATGTTTCTAGCTGTTGAAAGAGACATGGCAGAGGATCGAACCAAATATTGCCAAAGAAATATTAATTTCTTTTTGCGTTTTGTTTTGAAATGTATAATAACCATGATCTAGGATCCAGGTGTAATATAAGCAGGTCCGCATGGATGTTTCTCCAGCCATCAACTTTTTGAATGGGCCCCTCCTGTTGCACCATTGTCCTCTTTTATTCTGTATTCTGCTTATCCCAATTTTCATTAGGAGGAGAATTGTTTTCATTCTTGAACTCTGGTTTCTCTCCCTCTCTCCTCTAAGGAATCCTGAATTCTATCACAATGATCTTGTCTGGGGACCTCAATTTCAGAAGATCACAATGGATAATCTGACTTTCTGGTCTTCTGCTAACTCATTCATGAAGAGGACACTGGTCCCATGAGAAGAGGGAAGAACAAACTGGGTGAGACTTTGGGAACAGCAAATTCTTTCACTTCCTTCGTACCTACTTCTGGTCCAGTGATGTCCCAACCCCAGCAATTGTGGCCAACCGAAAAGGAAACCACTAATTTATTGTTTCTCAATCTTAATAACTTTCAGTCTGGCTGGCTCTGGAATTCTGAGAGTTGGTTCACCTGTCTTAAACTTGCCAAGGTTGAGAAATCATCTACTAATTACTCGGAAGGGGTTCTACTAAGGTGCAATTGCCAATAGTTTGAAAGCAAGAAAACATATTGGGTCTCAGGAGCTCCATTTCTTTGGATTTTCTCCACCAATCTATGACTTGAAAAGAACCCCTTTGGTGAGCCCATCACTATATTTCCAAGCAATTGAGCTCTCGATCCAGAATAACTGTGGAGATTCTCAGTCATCCAGGTCATGGTTGTCCCAAAGGTGCTTTTTCAAGAGACAGCTGGACTGAAGAACTGAAGAAGCTTCTCGATGTAAAGTTAAAAGTCTTCAAAGACAAACAAGAAAGTCCAGTTGCCTCTTGGAAAAAGCACCTTGTGGATCCAGAAGTGCTCCCACTTCATCAGGTCATGAAAAATTTGCCAAGCTTCTGTTGTTATTGAACTTGATAAGAAATCTTCTTAAAACGATTCATATTTTGGAATTAGAACTGCTTAAGTTTGTATAAAGTTAACCAAGAGGGAAATCCTTGCTAAGTGATGATTTGGAAGTCGGAAGAACAATTGTGCTAAATAACATGTAACAACTCCCCTCCATCCCAATTTTCTCATCCCTCCCTCCCCCCTCATTTCTTTCTTTCTTTTCCTTTTTTTTTAAAGCCTTGTATATGATGGTTAATTAGACAACATCTAATTTGGCTTAACATTTTTGCATGTGTCAGTTTTGTGAAAGGGAGACTATAATTAGGGAATACGGATCAAGTTTCTGTCAGACTTATAACCTCTCACTCTAATTTAATGTTCCTTTCCTTGGTGCAATGTCACCGGCAGTGTGCAGAATGCCCCTCCTCCTTCACACTGTCTTTTACGCATGGCTAGTGACCACATTGCCCAGATTACAGTGACTTTAACATGGAATGGCTTGCACATTGCCAACAGCAAATGTCTCTACAGATGGAAGAGATGTACTTGGGAGGAGCAGTTTTCTTTCCAGACCCAGAGATTGACACCTTGGGCCACCCTCAACATGAAGACTCATGTCAAAACATTTGAAGTTCTGACCATTGATCAGTATTACAAATACAACTGTCAACAGGTGTGAAGAAGTTGGCACCTCAAGTAGGGGAAAGAGGAGAGAAACGCCACATCAGTTTATCATACAATGATAAACATATGAAGAACAGTTGCATGAACTGGGCTTGGCTAGTCTAGTGAAGAGAAGGACTAGGGGAGACAGGAGAGCAGTCTTCCAATATTTGAGGGGCTGCCACAGAGAGGAGGAAGGGGTCAAGCTATATCTGAAGGCCAGGCAAGGAACAATGGATGGAAACTGAACAAGGAGAGATTCCACCCAGAAATAAGGAGACATTTTCTGACAGAGCAATCAACCAGTGGAACAGAAGTTGCCTTCAGAAGTTGTGAGAGCTTCATCACTGGAGGCTTTCAAGAAGAGACTGGATTGCCATTTGTCAGAGATTATAGGGTTTCCTGCTTGGGTGGGGGTTGGACTAGATACAAGGTTACTTCCAACTCTATTAATCTGTAAATCTATCAATCAGAAGGCACACCTCAATCTCTTGATGGCCTACAGAAAGCCAACATCTAGTATAACTAGAAGCTATTCTTTGATTGTCTTAGATTAAAAGTAAAAATAAGAACAGGAGATCTCCCACTGGTAGAGTCTCTAGGTTTTCAGCCTTAAAAAGGTAAAAGTAAAGGTTTCCCTTGCACATACATGCTAATCATTTCTGGCTCTAGGGGGAGGTTCTTTCTTTCTTTCTTTCATCTCCATTACAAAGCCGAAGAGCCAGCGCTGTCCGAAGACGTCTCTCTGGTCATGTGGCCAGCTGTTACCTTCCCACCAAAGTGGTCTCTATTTTTCTACTTGCATTTTTTAACATGCTTTCGAACTGCTAGGTTGGCAGAAGCCGGGACAAGCAATGGGAGCTCACTCAGTTACGCAATGCTAGGGATTTGAACCGCCGAACCGCTGACCTTTTTGATCGACAAGCTCAGGGTCTTAGCCATTGAGCCACTGCGTCCCTTCTCAGCCTTAACTTCTCTCCAAATAGCAGTATCAAAAGAAAGTCTTTTCAATTCCTCACTGGAAAGCAACTTCTGGAAGTTTGAGTGCTAAGGAAGTTCTGCTCCTCTCAATTCTGTAAGAAGTTACTTGGAAGGGTCACCTACAATGATGACGGATGTTCTACCAGTAGGTTCTTCATGGCCAGTTGTGTTTATCAGGCTCACTTCAGCTAAGCTAAGGTTGAAATGAATGATACAGAATGAGACGGAAAGGAATATGGCACAAACTACAGAAACCTTCTCGTATCAGCCATGGTTTTCCAGAAGACATTGAATGTGTTGAGGAAACATGCCAGGGCGGAGTTTTATACTCATACATTTAATGAGATGTGTTTTGTATCTTTGGCAGAATAATATAGATGTTATTGATTTATTGTTTATCAGTACAGTGAAGGAGAAGGGTTGATGATAATTCCTTAGACATAGATTCCGACATAGAAATAGCTGTTGGATGCCTAAATGCCAGTTATTTTGAGCAGACTAGGAATATGAAAAAATAGAATAATTTAAATTTTTATTATGAAACTACTTTGCGCATCAGTTGTTCTTTGTCTCCTTCTGTAAGATTTGGGACTCAGTTAAAAGAGAGTTACCATGTTTTAATCTATTTTTAACATTAAACCTTCCTTCCATCCTTCCCTTCTCTTCATCTTTCCTCTTCTTTCCTCCAACTTTCCCTCCCTCCCTTCCCTCCTTCCTTTTTTCCCTCCTTCCTTCCTTCCCTTTTTCCCCTTTCTGCCTTCCTACCTTTACTTTCTCTCCTCCCTCCCTCTTTCTTCCTTCCTTCCTTCCTTCCTTCCTTCCTTCCTTCCTTCCTTCCTTCCTTCCTTCCTTCCTTTCTTTCCTCAATTCATTTGAGGCCTCTCCTTTTTTTTTTTCCGCCCCCAAAAGACTCCCATTGATGTATGTGGTGTGGATTATCCTACAGTATTTTAACATGCCCTTAACAACATATCATCAGGTACATGAGAAGAAGAAAAAAGAGAGAGAGAGAGTTAATAATCTCAATGCCCACTATCTTCTAGTCCTTTCCCTCCCTGCGTTTTGTTGAAAAACCACTCTTAATTTGATCCATATCCTAAGTGTGCTTTCCAGTTACAAAAATTTATGATATGTATCAAGGAGAAGTGAAATGGTGATACGAAATTGTGACTGATGTAAAACAGACACAGAAAATGAGAGGCATTATAAAGCTCACTTTGAAGTTGGGTAAAGCCAGAAAGCGATATTCATTTTAAATTAAACCTGCTGTTATAGATGGGTGCAGGGAAGTTTTTTTTTTAAACACACACACACACACACACACACACTCCTTCTTTGAATGTGGCTTTGTTACTTACTAAGAAGTTTTTAGAAATGTCCTAAGAGGAGGAGGGAAAAATAAAATAGCTGGCATTGTCAAGATTACAAGGACAAGACAAAATATGTCCATTGCAGGATTTTCTGTCCCTTCTTCAGACATTTCCTGGATCGTTTCAGGATTGGGTGGGGGGGGGGGGAATGGAGCTTTGAAAGGCTACGCAGGTAGTCCTCGTCTTACAATGGTTCGTTTAGTGACTGTTCAAAGTTACAACTTTGGGGGGAAAAAGTGACTTCTGACCATTTTTCACAGTGACAATCTTTGCAGCATCTGCATTATCACGTGGTCAGAATTCAGAGGCTTGGCAATTGATTCGTATTCATGATGGCTGCAGCGTCCCGGGCAGTGGTGGGATTCAAAAATTTTTACTACCGGTTCTGTGGTCGTGGTTTGTGGGCGTGGCTTGGTGGGGGTGGCTTGGTGGGCATGGCAGGGAAAGTTACTGCAAAATCCCCCTCCCCTCCCCACCCCACTAACCTGCTTTCCAGCTCCGTTCTCCTGTGCAGGGCAACCAAAGAAGACCCAGCCGATCAGCTGGGACTCAATGGGAGGCAGAGAAGAGATGGGGTTGGCGGGGCCAGTCAGAGGTGGGATTGGCCGGTTCTCTGAACTACTCAAAATGTCCGCTACCGGTTCTCCACAACTGGTCAGAACTGGCTGAACACCACCTCTGGTTCCAGGGTTACGTCATCTCCTTTTGCAACCGTCTGACAAGCCTGGTCAATGGGGAAGCCATATTCCCTTAACCACAGTTTGACTAATTTAACAATTGCAGCGATTCACTTAACCACTGTGGCAAGGGAAGTCGTAAAATGGAGCAAAATTCGCTTAGCAACAGAAATTGTGGGCTCAACCCTGGGTCGCAAGTGAAGGACTACCTGTACTGGAGAACTCTCAAAGGCATTTTTTTTCAAAAAAATTTCCAAATTGGACTTCTTTTGTTTTTGCTTGAAGTCGTTTCGCTTCTCATCCAAGAAGCTTCCTCGGTTCTGACTGAGGAGAACGGAAAGGTTTATCATTCCTTTATATTCCTCCAGTCCTTTCAGTCCTTTCAGCAGCTTAAAAAGGTTCCACACCAGGGGTGGTATTCTACCGGTTTCAGCCCGGTTCTGCTGAGGTGGTAGCGCCGATGAGCAGCGGAGAACAAACTGGTTCTCTGCGACCGTCTGCTGTTGGTCCTGCCTGCCCGCCTGGTCTCCCATTCTAACCTTCATTCCCTGCTTTCAAGGTGCAGCTCCTTTGCGCGGCACACCAGATTGCCACGCGTCCGCTGCTGAAGCGACCGGGAGAGTGCAGGATTGCAGGAGGTGAGTCGGAAGTGCCAAATTCTGCGCCTGCGCCAAATTCCAATTGTTGGAAGAAATATCCTTCTGGGTTCAGTTCCAAGTG